CCCCCCCCCCCCCCCCCACACCGCATACCTGCTCAGGCTCACCTCTCCCTTAGAACTTGCCCCACTCTACAGTCCTTGCCAGATGGTTTGGCTCTATTTGTCACTAGTCTGTAAACTCCATGGGGATCAGGACTATGTTTTACAATCTACTCATCTGGCACAAAAGGTACATTCACAAACTGTGTCTTAAATGAATGAATATTGAATTATTTCCCCAGAGAACATGTTTGAAACAATGATTTACTGATTCCCTGTATTTCACTTGAAGGTTTTCCTATATTACAGACATGGAGTATGACATTGTGGCTCTGGAGCATATGTGTCTACTGCATGTGCAGGTATGTTTTTCTGGCTCTCACACAGCAGCAGGTGTGTGATGGCAAATGACCCTTGGCTATCCGTCAGGTAGTTCTCTCAGTTACCTGTCTGCAGGTAGTTTTCTCATTTACCTGTCTGAAAGTCCTCTCTTTTGTTGTTTCTGTTGTAGTTTATTTGGCATGGAGGTGGGACAAACACTTTAGGCACATCCCATGGCCCAGGTTGGCAATAGAAGCTGTTACTCCACAAGAAGGGTGGGAGAAAGACCTTGCAAGGCTGGGATCATTGCAGACTTTCTGTGACCCTTGAGAGAGGCCCCATTTATCAGTCGGGGTGGGAGGAGAACAAAGACTCAGCAGAAGACAGGACTGCTTGACCCAAAACAGTGAGTGAGCCATTCTTTGGCCCTAAAGACCCCCAGTGGTACCAGTTCATGTACTAGTTCATATACGATACAAACAGAGAAGGAGAAGAAAAGGGAGGAAGAAAGAAAAGAAACTAGAGATCTGAAAAAAGGAAAGGGTGAGGGGGGTGGGTAATAAGAAGAAAGGAAAAGCACAAGAGGGAGAAATGAAAGAGATTCATTTTCTAAAAATGTATAATTACTTAATTCCTCAACAGATAGTAAAGTTCCTGAGTAGAGACATCACATCTTGGACAATTGTAGACATCTTTTCCCCCATTATCAACCAGTGAGGATCTTGGTCATTATTAAGGTTTAAATAATCTTAATAGGTATTTGTGAATAAATCAATCATGGTTCTTCCACTGCAGATTAACATAGAATATCT